TACTTACCAGCGGCGGTTTGTCGGCCAAACGCTTGCAATTATTCAGCTCTGTGGGTGAGTTATCCTCGTCCGAACTGGGTGGTGTATGTTGCACGGCTTTCTCGTTATCATTGCAGCTGTGCAATATCGCGTACGCAAGGACATGTAAGTAATAGAAAGTAAAAAGTAGAAAAGTTAAAGACCGTTAGCTGTAGCAAATACTGAATTCTAAGCATATAAAATATGTATTGTATTCAAAGAGGAAAATTTGTATTGACTGCTAGTGACTAAGCATAATGGTGTAGTTAAATATTTATAGTGGAGTTTTAGGCGTGCGGATGGATGGAGGTGTTGGAGTGGTGTGTTGTGACGTCTGGTCTGTGTGCAGGAAATTGCGTAAATGTTTGTGGTCTGTCCCTTTCTGTTGTTGTTTTTGTTTTTGTTGTTGATGCCATCATTGCGGGGGTTGTGCACACACACGCTTGTGACTGATCATATGCATAACCAAAGTGTGTATGTATGTATGTATGCTTAAAAAGTGCATAAGTACTGACTGACTTCACTTTTGAAGATAATCGAAATTGACAACTGCAGTCAATAAACTTCAAAGCACATGTGCAATATGGTCATACGTTCAGACATACATACCTACCTACACACGAAATCTATATATATGGGGCGTTCCATACCAAAATGTACGTGGTTCACATTTCATGTGTTTGATTTGTTTCAAATTTTTAGGGTTGATGGATAAACATAAATAATAGATAAATATGAAATTTGAGCTTGATTAATACATTTTTAAAAACCTTACAGCACAAAAACAAAAACAAATCGATTTAATAGTTTTTCAAATATCTCGGGAACTTGGCGAGGAAAAAATTAAAAAAAAATTACACATACACACATTAAAATCCTCTTTGCAAAGAAATATTTTTAAGATTTTTTTGCTTGAAAAATTTTTCACAAACACAAATTTTTTTATAAAAAAAAAATAATTTTTGAAAATATGCAATTTCGAAAAAATTTAAAAAAATCACAATGGTAGCTTTGAGTATTGCGCAATATTTAAATATAGTATTACGGTGTGCACTCTACAATAGTTTGAGTTATGAATTTTTTTTACACCGAAGTCGAGTAATATGCGTACATTACAAATTTACAAATTTTTAATATATTTTTATAATTTTTTTTTTTGTATTAAATTTCAATATAATAAAGTGCATGTTTTAAGCTACTGCACAAATGTGTTGATTTTTAATATTTTTTATGCTGACGGCTTTTGGCACATTTTATTATGAAAGAAAATACGGAAAACCGTTTTCATGGAAAATTAAAAAAAAATTAACTCCACTTTTGCTAAAATTTAATGGGCTACATTTTTGTGATTTTTTTCAATTTTGTTTTGAGATGGCATATTTTCAAAAACTAATTTTTTTTTTATCAAACAATTTTTATGTGAAAAATTTTTCAATTTGAATGTGTGTATGTGCGTTTTTTTCCAAATTTTTTCCACGTCCCGTTCTCGAGATATTTGGAAAACTATTAAATCGATTTGTATTTGTTTGTGCTGTAAAGTTTTTAAAAATGTATAAATCAAACTCAGATTTCATATTTATATATTATTTATGTTTATCCATCAACCAAAAAATTTGAAATAAATCAAACACATGAAGTGTGAACCCCGTACATTTTGGTATGGAACGCCCCATATATATATATTTGGATGTATGTATGTACATGTTAACATGTGTATACTATTTGTGTCCACGCATAGTGGCATATCGCTGGTTTATGTGGTCACCCCCCACTGGGGGAGTGCACGGTGCTGTTGCATGCACGCTTTTGTAATTCATGCGATTATTCATGTATACTCGCCCGTATCAACTATATTCACCCCCAATGATGGTTGTGTGGGAATTTTCAATTCTTATTTTTATTTATACTGTTATGGTGTTTAGTGATGCTTACTGCTGCTTTGTATTGTTATTTGTATGTTGTGGTGAGTGACTGACTCCCCTTTTCTCAAATGAATTGAAAGAATTGCATTTATGAGCTATGAAAAATGTCGTGAATCGTTTAATTTAATTTGTGACGCTCCAAAAGACAGTAAAAATTTAATAAAGTGTACAGCATCTACGCATTTTTTCCGAACAAGTTTTCAACGTTTTTTTCTTACATCTATAGGTGTTTTTATGAAATCTTGAATTTTCGAATATCGAAAAACTGATATTTTTATTTCATATAAATCTTGACCTCTTAGTATATGCAACAATTTTATTGAGCTTGAGGCCGTTTTTAATGAAAAGTTTTGTGGGAAAACCACAATAATTTATAAATGGTACAGCGACCCCAGCATACAAAGCTAATGGCCCGCTGTATAAACTTTTGTTGCTTTTTCCCACTTTTTCATATGCCTATTCTTTCAATAAAATTTGTGAGTTTTTCGAAGTATTAAAGGCTTTTTTCAGTTTAAGGATAGCGCCTAAATAGTTTTAAAATTATATTCTATGTATATGAGGATGAACACTGAGCTAAATCTTGTTTACGTGCTCGAACGAGCTTCTTCACTAATTCGTGTTCCGCTTCTACTTTTTTTGATGTTGCTGGGACCAGATATTGAACTATGTATCTCTCGAAAGGCAGTAGGCACAATTTAAGCACTCGGCTACTGCGGCAAGAGTAGTACTCAAATCCAAAAAACAAGTCAGAACAAATGCAATAGATTATTAATAAAGTTAGAATAAGACCAAATGTGAATTTTTCACTGTTATTTATTTGCTTTACTTTTGCTCTAAAAAAACTTTGAACTTATTTTGATTTGCTCTGTTCTATGATTAGTGTTTTGTTTTTGGCCATCTTATTATAATTTATACGTTGATTTTTGAGCTTTTTTGCTAAATAAAAGTTTTGTTTACTTTTAAAAGTTGTATTGCAATTTTGGTCATGACTTCATACTAACTTAAGCATTTTGACTGAATGAAAACTATGTAAAAAAATATCAGTTTATATGTTTACCTAAATTTCAAAATCGACAACCGGTTTTTTCAAATCGCAATTTTTCGAATAACTCGAAACCCGGTTTTGGAAAAAAAATGCAAATAATCGAATACCCTACTACTTACTGAAACATCAATTGTTCAATCAGCGGCTGCACTTTATGGCACTTTGTATAAGAACTGTCTGTCTCGTTCGCTTCTTACTCGCAGATATTAGTGTTCCCAAGTAGTATAAAGACCTTCAAAATTTGAGTATTGATTCAAGAAAATTTTTATAGTGAGCATTCAATATTAATACTGATTTTTACTCTGAACAATACAGATCAAGAAAGTTAAAGTAGCTAATTCGTCCTGCCGATTTCTGCAAAAAGCTCAGCAGGGTGTTGGAATCTCGAGGAACAAATGGAGACCCATTGAGTTTTAAAAAAAGATATGAAATAAAAAAAAAAAATTAAGCCAAGATTTTTCATTTAAGTTTTCATCTTAGCACTAGCTCGCAGCAGATTTCTTTTCAAGATAGTACCTCAAGTTGTGCTATGCCAGGGAAGGCTGGTTGCGTGCAATTTTGCGAGATTTTCTTTCTCTATCAAAAATGTCTGTGTGAATCATCCGCCCGAATGCGATTACGATGACTTCACATTTATGCACCCATTTTATGTTTAAAGCACGTGCCTCGATTGATGCTTTCGCTTTATTTTTAGTACATATTCATATTTATCATTTAACTGCAACATACTTCGCATTCAAGACATAAAAAAAAACAGTAAAAATTTCATTGACAATTTTTTTTCTCGCTACTCACTTTAAATTCGCCTGCGTGAATAAATGCATTGGTCGTCGATTGCGCCCCACTGAGCCATTCAGCATGGGCGATGAGGGTCGCGTATCACCGACGACACCGTGGCGCAGCGGCAGATATGTGGGTGGTTTTCGAACACCACCCAATGTGGAGACACCATTATAGTGATTACCAATAGCTTTGCCAACAGTATGCATATTTGTACTTGAATTCGGCGTGTTGGCGAGATTATTCGCATTCTTTGCTCGCTGCAGTGTCTTCGCGGGTGACGACGACGTGGACGATGTGGACGACGAACGGAAGCGTGCACCCGTCAACACAGCAGCCAAATTGGCGGCAATGCGATTGTCGAAACGATTAAAGTAGCTGCCATTGTCGATGCTGGTGTGCTGATTGCTGTTGTTGGTGTTGGTGTTGGTGTTGCTATTCTGATTGTTGCGGTTCGCAGTTGTTGGCGAAATAGTGGCTGGCGGCGTGGCGCGCGCTGTTGCTGTGCTGTCAGCAACACCCGCTGGCGCAATATTGCTATTACGCTCATAATCCAAATTATTGTTAATCATTTTGAATGAATTTATGTGTGTCGATTATGCGGTTGAGCGAAGGACACCTGCGGCGATTAAACGTTTTTTTTCTTTTTCTTTTTGTTGATATGGAATTAACGTTTGGTGCACTTTTCACCTCTATTTTTTTTTTGCTTTACACTTTTTTGTTACAAGTAATTTTGTCACATTTATGTATTCATATTTTTTTAGTCACACCATTTTTTAATTTTTTTTTGCTGTTATACTCCAATTCTGCTTGAAAAAAAGTTAAATTATTTTTAGCATTCAACTCCCAGTGGGTGACAATTGCGTCGCTTTTGACACTCCTCTTTTTGCTTTCTCTGCCCATTCTCTAACTGCTGTTTCAACCACAGCTTTACGCCACATTACCAAAGTTAATTCATGCGTAAACTGACAACAACGTACGTACGTACACATAAAAATGCACAACAAAAAAAACAATGGCAGGCAGCCAAGGGCAACCAAAGCGTTAAGCCGGAAGGAAACAAGCATTGGCAAACCGCAAAACTCACAAACAATAAAGGCAATGAGGTATTGCGCCGCATCGATGGCAAAGCCAATGCAATGCACAAGGGAAACATGACAACAACAACAGGAAAAAAAAATATTTTTATATGTGACAGGAAACGATACGCTGATGTCGTTACGGCCAAATTCAGTGCCATGAAATACTCAAATGCATTCACTTTGAAGCGCCAAAAAAGAGTGATGGGTACAACTTGTAGAAGGGAAGGGTGATTAAAGCGAACGCCGAAGTGAGTGATCGAAGGGCAAATGTTGTATTTAAATGTTTTGCTGTATTTTTGGTTTTATTGTAGGATGACTTTCGCAAACGTCAAATGTTATCTTTTTAATTGAATGTTTAGCACAGACAACAGAAGAAAGCCGCTCGCGAAGATTACAAAGGAGTAGACCAGGAGCCTAAAAGGCGCTATACAATAAAACACTGGTTTTAATCAAATAAAATATCGAAGAAACTATGAGGGAAACCGAAAAGCGGAGGCAGAATTTAAAAAAATTTTACGATTTCCCGCCATATGATTCCCCTCTTTCGAAGAAAATATGTTTGTGATCATTTTGTGGAATCCATACTGCTCACATGAATAAATCTAGTTTGGAAATGCAGCACCAGATAAATATTAACCAGTACCAAATGTAGTTGAATACTCATGACAAATAAGTTACAGAGGCGCCACCGAAGCCATCTCTCTTTCTGGAACAACTTTAACGACGAGGAATGTTGCACGGCTGCAGGGTGGAGTATTGTGCCTACAAGACCATGGTATTAATAACATAACAGCATAGCTAAGAAGCCCTACGTATCACACAAAAATGGTGTCAAGATAAAGGAATAACTATTAATCCTACGAAAAGTATTGTTGTACAATTTACTCGAAGGACAAAGTTAACTTTGACTAAACTCACTTTAAGCGGCACAGAAATATAATTTTCCAGCAAAGCAAAATATCTGGGATAACTCTTGATAAAACACTCAACTGGAAGGCACATTTGGATGCGGTTATCAACAAGGCAACAAAGGCTTTACTTGCCTGTTCACGACTTCTTGGTAAAACATGAGGCCTTACTCTCGAAATGACCTATTAGTCATTTAATACTATAGTAAAACCGATAGTAACCTATACATCCTTAGCCGGGTGGACCAAGGCTACACAAAGAACTGCAAGCACAAAACTAAGTAAATTGTACCGAATGAGTAGCATTGGCATAACAGGGGCGATGAAGAGCTGCCCTCCTGATGCACTCAACGCCTTGGTTGGAATACCTCCCTTTCGTATGTTAATAGAAAGAGAGGCGACCACCGCGGCACTAAGATTCCTCAACATCTCTGACCTGAAGATCGGAAATATGACGGGTCACATGAGGGTCCTAATGAAATGAGAGTTGTCTTGATCATATTAGTATGTATATACATTATACTTCTTCACTAGGGTAGACAAAAATATGAAAATGCATATTATGACACAAAATGCATATTTTGGCGAAAAAATATAAAAATGCATAAAAAATATTATTTTGGTAATAGGTTAATTAATTTTCACATAATTTCATCTGGCAATACCTTTGCGGAGATAGCCAAGGTTACTGATGAGGTTTGTTTAATTGACAAAAAGAAAAGGCAGACAAACAATGGAAAGTCCCGTTATTTTCTAGTAAACAATTTTAATGTACTAATGTAAAAAATATTTCGACTCGTGATTTCCAATAGTGAAGTCTCGCGCTAAATCGGTTTTTGTGGTTGAAAAATTCAGTCAAAATTTTTCATTTTTAGCGAAAGGTGTTTAACAGTTTCCAGAGGCTGGATTCTGTGAGTCATTAAGTGTACCTATTCTGAAAGTTGTGTACACTTCCTCATTTTGCGATCCAGACTTTTAACTGTCAAAATGGTGTACACTTCTCTTCCGAAAAACTCGCTGAATTTTATTCGGTGAGTTTTTGGTTGTGAGTTTTGTACTACATTTTCTCACAGTTATAGAATCCAGCCCCAGGTGTGTGAACTTGTCAAATACATTTTGTATGTATGTACAAAAACTTTTTAAGCGATCGTCGAAAAAAATTTCGTTATAAATATACATTTTTGGGGGCATATATATCAAGCATATTTTAAATATTTTGGAGTCATTTTAATGATCATATAATTCAGTTCTTTGTGCATATTTTTGTCTTCCCTACTCCCCAAACAAAAAAAAATAGGTACTTTTTTCCATTGGAATTATAAAATCTATTATTTTTGAAGACTTGCGCCTAAATTCTTCGGAAAAATATTCAAATTTATGTACGTGAACTGGACCTATTTGAGTTTTTTATGAATAAAAATAGTTTTTTTTTAAAGAATATTTTTGAAAAATATAGCCTCGGTTTACGCTTAAAAATTTTCTTAAAAATAAAAATATTTTCAAAAAATTTTCTACGTAGTCATAATAACGAGATTTTTGATGCTGTTTTTGAACTTTTTTCAAATATTGGTTTAAGAAAAATTTGAATAACTGGGCCAAACCATAACGATTTAGACTTATGATTCCGTTGAACAAATTTTTTTTATATTGTTACGCAAATTTTTTAAACCTAAACTGTTTTGTCATCTGATGGATTTTTTTTTTAATTATGAAACTCTTTTTATTCATAAAAAACTTCATTTTTGGAGGTTTTTTAAAATCGGTCCATATTGTGATGGAAGTTTGTACACATACGGTTTGATGGATCTATCGCTTCTTCTTCTGTTACTAACAAACAAATGGATATAATACCATTATATCTTCAACTTTTCGACATTTATAACATTCAAGAGTTACCCTCTGCGTATCGTATGCTTTTACAATAATATCACTTTATGGCCAATATTTTTACGAAAGCCTCTCATTGTAAAACAACTCTGCTGTCTGTATGAAATTGCGTTGATTGTGGCATTTCAGTTTAGTTTTAGTTAGTCAACCAGGAATGTGCTTAAATCGTTAGCAACAATTGTTATAGCTTTTATGTGATTCAATAAAATTCTTTCCTAGGGAGTTTTTTTTTCAAACATTTTAGTGAAAAAAATCCGTTCGTTTTAATTAACACACGAATTTTTCCCTTATCACAACTCACATGAAAATTAATTTAAATGAATTAAAATTGTATGTTTTTCTTGGAAAGAATGCTGTAGTTTTTGCTTTGCAATTTAAATTTTAGTTAACCGTATAGTTGTGTGTTTGTGCAGTTTTCGTATTGATTTTCGTTTTGTTGAATGTTATTCTTGATTTTGCTTGCGTCCAATTTTTTTTTTTCATCTGCAATGCGGATGTGTGTTAATTGTTTAAAAATTTTCAAATAAATTCCAATCGTTTTGTTTCTTTTGCAAACGATAAGCTTTGCGTATTTTAACATGCGACGAATGTGCAATTTATAAGCATTAGCCAATTTCTGTAGATTTTTGTTGAGTTTTGATGAGATTGCTGTCGAGTATTTTCACCAATTCAATAGTTTTTTGTTGAAATAGTTTGCTGTGAAAGCCGTTTTTTCTTTTTGTGGATCTGTTTCATAGTAGCGATAATAGTCCAATTTCATTTAATTTT